CGTCGATTCCCTAGATTATACAGAAACATATGGGAAGTGGGGGGGGCAAAAACCCAGAACATATGAGAAAATGTAGGACATCCGGCTATTTGTGTGTATGTATGTGTGTGCGTGTGTCCCAGGGCCCCTTGAAAGCCCCCCAACAAGATTGGCGGAACACCGGCCACATCCAGAAATTATGTCCAGGCGCCGTGCGCTGTCATGATCCATGTGGTGTCAGAACACGCATGATGGATCGGGATACACGGTGGATGATGCAACAAGCATTCCCATGCCGCGGTTTTTATGTTGGGCCGCGTTGGCGTTTCGTTAGGGGTAAAAGCTATCTTCGCCACTGAGATATATTCTTGACGCTTCGCGTATCCCAGCCAGCCAGTTCTCTTGGCCTCGGCCACCCTGGTACTTCCGTAGTCCCATGGGTACCTTCGCCCCTGTATTTGATTTCCTCGCAGCTCGCAGACCCTGGCCGCAGTCTACCCTGGCAGCCAACCCCTCCTTGCAGCACGTTGCATGCGTGCACCCTGGCAGTACAGCTCTTCAGCAGTTGCTGTCAACCCCTTCCCACTCGCTGGCCTGGCCGCTCAGGTGCCGCGTGAGGGTATGGCCCACCGCCTTAAGTTAATTCGTCTTTGCGCGCCCCGCTCTGACTTGGCTCGCCGCTGGCGCGTTTGCCTGCGGCCGCTGAGTAAAAAGTATCCCAGCCAGCCCACCCAGAAACGATCAGCAGCGGAATCGGTGAATCAAGGGCGGCAGGACGCATGCTGTTGCGCAGCCGTCTTCGGGAAAACAAGGATCACAAAGAGCTTCCCGCATTGAAGTTTGCGATGGAAGCCGGTGCAAACTACGATGGCGCTTCGATGAGGAGTGAGACTTGTTTCGATGACTCGTAATGGCTGTTGCACTGATTTGTATATTAAACTCGCGTGCCTTTCGAGACTTGGAGCCATCTTGGGGCTCTCTTGGGGTTCTCTTGGGGCCCTCTTGGGGCCCTCCTGGAGCTCTTTCTTGGGGTTCTCTTCAGGTCTTCTTAGGGCCTTCTTGGAGCCCTCTTGGGGCTCTTTTGGGGCGTCTTGGGCTCTCTTGGGGCTCTTTTGGGGGGTCTGGGGGCATTCTTGGGGCTCTTCTAGGATGCCTGAAGGGCCTCTTGGGGCCGTCTTGGACCCTTTCGCTAAGAAAGATGGGGGCTCTCAATTCCCAACGCCCCCTCGGAGGCTCAAAAATGCCGTCTTGGAGCCCTCCTTGGGCCGCTCTTGAAGCGCTCTTGGGCGCTCTTGGGGCCGTCTTGGGGCCCTCTTGGGCTCCTCGTGGGACTATTTTGGGCCGTCTTGGGGCCATCTTGAGGCCTCAGGAGCCCATCGGAGGCGAAAAAACGAGAAGGCAACCAACTTTGATGTTCCTTAGGTTTTTGAAGGATTTTGGCCTCTTGTGGGAGTCCTCGGAGGGCTCGGACGGCCCTTGAAACCGTCTTGGGGCCGTCTTGAGGCCTCTTGGATGCGTGCCGGAGGCTATCTTGAGCCATCTACTGCTATCTTGGGCCATCTTGGAGGCCATCTCGCATTCTCTGGAGCCCTCTTGGAGCCATCTTGGGCCGAAATGGGCCCTCTGCCACATCGCGGGGGGGCCCGTCCAGACGCAGGGAAGGGGGGGGGGGGGGGGGGTAATCCGGGTAAACCACCCGAGCAGTGAGCAGTGAAAGGAAGGAGGTTGGAAAAGGAAACGCCCTGGACCACCACTGGCTGGGGACAGCCCTCGGAGATTCCGAACACCTACATCTGGAAAGCAGAAGGGAGAGAAAGACGAGGAAGGTGAGGAAGAGGAGGAGGAGGAGGAGGAGGAAGAGGAGGAGGAGGAGGAGGAGGAGGAGGAGGAGAAGGAGGAGGTCCCCAGGATCGGCCACGTAAGGGGGTGAAGACGGATCTCGAGGAGCCTGATGCGCAGGCGGGGGAAGAGGGGTGGACGGATGAGCTTGCGAAACGGAGCGCCCCTAGTTGTTCACGGGGGAGGGGCAGGCGTGCACAGCGAGACAGCACCCAGAAGGGTCAGTGGGACGCCGAACACATCCAGAAATGATGCCCAGGCACGTGGCTAGGATCAACGCGGGGTCGGAGCACGCATGAAGAATCGGGAACACGTGTTGAGTCACGCAACGCATGGTCATTAGGTCGCATTGGCAGTTCCACAGTGCGATCCTTCCCAACAGGATAAACTCTCTGATCCTCGGCTGGGGAACGGCCCGCGGAGTTTCTCAACACCTCCATTTTGGGAGCAGGTGGAAGAAGAAGAAGAAGAGGAGGGGGATCAGGAGGAGGAGGAGGAGGAGGAGGAGGAGGAGGGAGAGGAGGAGGAGGTGATGACGGATCTGGAGGAGTCTGATGCGCAGGCGGGGGGGGAGGAGGAGGAGGAGGAGGAGGGGAGGAGGAGGAGGAGGAGGAGGAGGAGGAGGAGGAGGAGGAGGGGAGGAGGAGGAGGGAGGAGGAGGAGAGGAGGAGGAGGAGGAGGAGGAGGAGGAGGAGGAGGAGGAGGGAGGAGGAGGAGGGAGGAGGAGGAGGGAGGAGGAGGGAGGAAGGAGGAGGAGAGTCGGAGGGAGGAGGAGGAGGAGGAGGAGGAGGAGGAGGGAGAGAGGAGGAGGAGGAGGAGGAGGAGGAGGAGCGGCACGAGCTTTGAGACTTCGAGGGGCAGACCTGAATTTCGCAAGCCCTCTTTTTGAACAGTGGGGTTCAGGGCTTCCAGCGCGAAAGAGGAGGCCTTGCGTTGCAGGTCCTTTGCAGGGGCTTTGCAGGGTCCTTGCAGGGTCGTTGCATGGGGGGTGGGGGGCAGCAACGGCCACGCCAACCCTGCAAAATTGGAGTCTCGGAGGCCTCGTGGGCCGATTCTGGGCCCAGCACATCAAAAAGGGGGGCTTATGGATTCATGCCCCTCCTCGGAGGCTCAAACATGGCGACTTGGGGCCCTCTCGAGCCGCTTTTGGAGCGCTCTTTGGCATACTTGAGGCCCTCTTGGGCCCCCTGGGCCCCTCTTCGGGCTCTCTTGGGCAGTCTTGGGGCCATCTTGAAGCCTCCCCAGCCCATCGGAAGCGAGAAGGCGAGAACGCAAAACACAGTGATGTCCCTTAGGTTCTGGAGCCATGTAGGCTTCTTGAGAAGGCTTAGAGGATTCGAGAGGCACTGGACACCGTCTTCGGGCCGTCTGGAGGCCTCTTGAAGGCATGTCGGAGGCTATTTTGACCCAACTTGAAGCATCTTTGGCCATCTTGGACGCCATCTTGGGTTTGCGGAGGCCCTTTTGGAACTGTCTTGGACAGAAAAGCACCCTCTGGCACCTCGCGGGGCGCCCTGTCCAAACCCAGGGGATGGGGGTAGGGGGAGAGGTAACTCCCTCCCCCGAGCAGGAGATGGAGGGGTTGTAGAACGAGAGAAGGCAATAGTTCGTGAAACCACCTACGCCCAGAGGGCTGGTGGGTTCTAGTTTTGGGACTGTTCCTGGGGCCAGGCGAAGGCCCGTGGAGACCGACGACGACAAGAAATGAGCGTCGTGATTTTCTGGTCACGTCACGAGCATGTCACACCGGGAAGGGCCGCTGCTGCCCGGCGGCGAAATCAGAAGGGGCGGGCCTGGCTCGGAAGGCCTCGGGCCTTCTGAGCAGCTCTCGAAGCCTCTTCCCGGAAGGCAGACCAACTTCCCAGAAGGCCGGCGGGCGGAGGCCCCGCCGCCTTCGAGAAGGCCCGCCCCCTCTCGCTTCCCTGAGGCCCGACGTAGCGAAAAAATGCAACGTCGTGAAAACCCGGGCCTGGAGCCCGGGAGCCCATCTTTCCGCGTCATTTTTCGATCCGGATCGATCTGTGAGGGCCCCGGGGCCCGAAAAGAGGCGAAAACGCCCGGCTCGGAAAAATTGAGTCGCGGCCCGCTTCATATTTCATATTTCATGCAACTACATGACAGTTTTGTGCTCCGCACCCTGGCCGTGATCCTTCGGGTGGGCTGGTGTGCGCTCGGAGCCTCGAGGGAGGCCCATCTGCCCCCCCTCTGCTGTTGTGCCCGCCTGTGCTTCAGACGCGGCGCGATGCAGACTCTGATTCTCCTCCTCCTCCTCCTTCCTCCTCCTCCTCCTCCTCCTACTTCGAAGGGCACCAACCATACACCAACACCGATCCTGGCCAGGATCACCCTGGGCCCAGGATCGGTGTATATGCCTTCTTGCCCAAGGCAGGAGGGCGTATACACCGATCCTGGGCCCAGGGTGATCCTGGCCAGGATCAGTGTTGGTGTATGGTTGGTGCCCTCCTCCTACTTCTCCTCCTCCCCCCCTGGTCTCGCCTCCGAGCGGTCTCCACCGGCCCTCCTCCGCGCGAGAGCTGGACGCACCTGCTCGCCCCCGCGGGGGGGGCCCCGGCCGTGCCCGCCACCGTCTCGCTGCCCCGCGGCCTGGCCGAGCGCGACCTGCGCCTGGCGGCCAGGAGCGCCGTGCGGCAGCTGGAGGCCCCGTGGGCGAAGAACCCGCGTTCTTCACTAATTTCGCCGACAGACCGCTTGTTGTTGCGCCAGCGACGAGGAGGACCTCCACCTCCCCCCCCCCTTTCCGTTTCCTTCTTTTTCACCCTTACTCTCCTCATTCTGGACCCCTCCCTCGCCGATGATTGAAATGTTGTCGCCGTCCTGGTCGTCGTCGTCCTCCCCTTCCCTGTCCCCTGTTTCTTCGCCCACGGGGCCCCCGTGGGCGAAGAACCCAGAGATCCAACGCCTCCCAAAAATCAAGGCGTGGGCTTTTCGTATCTTTCCGCCTCGAGGGGCCCTCGCCGGGCCCCGGCACCGCCAGAAGACGATGCAGGATGAAGAGCCGGTCCCGGGGGATGGGTCGAGACTTCCAGGGACCCCGCATGGAAAAAATCACGACGTCGGATCTCTGGGAAGCAGACTCGTAGCCGTCGCCTCGCGGGCCAGGGCCCTGGGCCGCGGCCCCGCGGCGGCGGGGCGCTTGTGCGCGGCTGCCCTGCGCGGAGCGTGGATCCGCGCGCCTCTCGTATCCGCGGAGTCGCGCCCCAGAGTCCAGGCCGCGAGGGCGCGTTGGCCGTCGCGCAACTGGGGGGGGGTCGTAAGTGGGGGGGTGGCGAGGGTGGCCCGAAAAGGTACCCAAACGGTACCTCGACGAGGCCCCTGGGGCTCTGGAGGGGCCCGCAAGGGGCAGGAAAGGGGACCGCTTCTGCCCCCCCCATTGGTGCCCCCCCCCGATAAGCCACGCCCAAGCGCGGACACTGATGTGCTCGACATTCGTGAGAGGCCGTGCGGCGGCTGCGCGGCTCGCACGGGCGCGTGCGTCGCGGGGTGGCCAAGCTCGGCTTCTCATCGCCGAAGGAGAAAGCGCCGGCGCGGGCACGAACTTCACAGGGGGGGGTATCAAGCAGTGGCGAAGCGTCCCGGCTCTCCTATAGGGCTACCAAATAATGTTCTCAGAACTTTTTGTGGTTTGCACGAAACGTTCTTAGAACCTTTCTGGTGGAGACTGTCTTGTTTTTACACGTCGGGCTAATGTTCTGAGAACACTTTTTGTAATTACAACATCTCTTGGTTCTAAGAGCATTTCGTGGTAGGACTGTAGGAATGCTGGGACGGGCGGTCCCTGCCCAAGGGAAATAGATGCCGATGCCGCCGCTCCTCGTGGCGAGCTCTCATCGGCACAGCTGGGTTCTCCTCGAGGTTCTGGTAGGAATGCACCCGAAGAGAGGTCCGAGGAGCAACGGCACCCGTACGTTTCTGCCTCGTCAGAGCTCCTGAGCGTCCGCGCGGGCTGCTTGGGTCGGCGCTGGCGGCGCCCCCGGCGGCGCCTCTGGTGCGCCATGGAGGGGATCCCAGCTCCGATGCAAGGGATGCGCGTTCGCGTCGGGCGAAAAAAGGGGGGGGGGGACCTCTCGACCACTTCCCAGGGGCCGTGCTTTCATGCAGGGGCGGTTTCTGACGGCCCAGAGGCCCAGTGCAGGGGCCCCGTGAGGACGAACACATTATTATTATCATTATCATTTTTTATTATTAGTAGTAGTATTATCATTATTAGTATTAATATTAATATTATTATTAGTATTAGTATTAATATTAGTATTATTATCATTAGTATTATTATTATTATTATTAGTAGTAGTAGTAGTAGTGGTAGTAGTAGTAGTAGTAGTAGTAGTAGTAGTAGTAGTAGTAGTAGTAGTATTCTCATCATTATTACTATTATTCTTATTATTATTATTAGTATTATTCTTATTATTATTAGTCTATAAATATATAAATACATATCTATATCTATATGTATATATAGTAGACGAGCCCCCCCCAAAAAAAAACGTGGTCTCGATTTTTTTGGAGATGCTGGATGGCTGGGTCTGCCCCCGCTCGCCCGACCCGATGCGCGGACCTCCCACAGCACATGCTCGAGCCGGCGGTTCCTCCTTCTCGTCGTGGGAGGCGCTGGACGTGGCCTCGTGGCGCGGGGTCCCCGGGCTCGTCGAAGCCCTGCGGGGCTTCCTGCACGCCTACGACTGGGGCGGCCGGGAGGTGAACCCCGCGCACGACAGCACCTCGATCTTGGTGCAGGAGCTCGTAGAGCGAAGACGGGCCTGCCCCTCTGCAGGAGGAGTGTTCAGAGCCAGTCGAAAAATAGTCTGGGGACTATGTTCTGAGAGCATGCTCTAACAAGTTGTTTTGACTACTATTTCCCGACTGCTTCTAATTTCTCGTCCAAAACCAGCCTGTAGGGGGACACGCCCGACCTAATCGTAGACTTCCGGTCGGGAACTTCGGTTCAGCGTGTCGCGTGTCGCTGGTTTTGGCCCACCACACTGCGGCGCGACGGGCTATCCACCTCCCCATCCCCAAGCGTCTACTGCTCGAATTTTGCCCAGCCTCCAGTGCTGAGCGGAGGGGCACGCTACCCGCTCGCAGGGCACAGAGAATCGCCGGGGCCGCCGCGGCGACACGCTCAGCAAAGATTCCTGGCCGTAGAGTCTTGAGCATGAATCCCTTGTTGAACGCAGTCTTCCAGCTTTGGCGCCGAAGGTCGCCAAAAATCGCCGAATACCAACGGAAACAGCCAGGGGCCACCGACGAGCGCCGAAGACCGTCAGAAGACTTCTGGAGACCGCCGAAGACGGCACCTCTCGGGTGCTGCTAGAGGTGTCCATGCCTCAGGGAGTCTCCACTCCAGGATTTCCAGGAAGGCCCCGACGGCACCCAGAGTACTCCTCACGACATCCCAGTAGGCCCCAGGAGGAAGAGGAGGAGGAGGAGGAGGCGGAGGAGGAGGAGGAGGAGGAGGAAGAGGAGGAGAGCCCCTGTTTATGTGGAGCGAAGGGCCCCGGACAACTTTGGGCCAGGGACCCTTTGAGCGGCGATCGTCGTTCTAGCCGTTCCCCTGCAGCTGCCCCCCGCTCTGGGCGCGGGAGGAAGCAGGGCACGGACAAAAGAACGCGGCCTCGAAGGCCAGGAATGTGTCTCCCCCCCTGCCCCCCTCCCTCCCTCCCTCCGTCCCTTCCTCCCCTCCCTCCACATCCCCGCTCTGGTTCCTCGTGGGGTCGGGGCGCGAGCGGAGGCGATAATAAAGGTCGATCGCCTATTTTAGCACCCCCCCGAACCTCGATCCCAGCGCAGGAGTTCGTAGAGCACGCCCTGGAGCTTCGCCTGTACGTCGTCGCGGGCCGCGTGGAGGGCGTCGCGTACACAAAGGTGCTGCCGACGCGATTGTCTTTCGGCCTCCTCCCCTCCTGTCGCAATTGCATTCTCGATTTGTTGTTCAGGCCGCGGTCCACAGCATGAGTTTGCCTATGGCGTGCATGTCGGTTTGCGCGTTGTTCCCGGTTTGACTAGCGACCTTTTGATTTTCGATTTAGTTGTGTCACCCGCGGTGACTTGCGTGGAAAGAAGAAGGTGCTGCCGACGGACGACGGCCTCGCCTTCGAGGAGTTCGAGCTAGCGAAGGACGCGAGGGAGGCTGCACATCTCGAAGAAGAACAAGTTCCCCGTACAGTGGGGGCCCATGCCAAGAAACGCCCTGCTTGCCTCCAGGGTGCCCTGGGTTTCTTGGGTTTCGATGCTTTTGCGCTGGAAAGCGTGACGTTCCCACACCAACCTTCAATCGACGTCCTGGGGTCTCAGGCTTGGGTTTCTCGTGGAAGGTTTCTCGTGGTCGGGCCCCTGCTTTGCGCATCGACTTCTCCAGCTCCGCGCGGCCGTCTCGGGTCGGCGCCGGCCTACCCGGCGCCGCCCTTGGCGCGTCCCGCGCGCCAGGGAGGGAGGCCCAGCGTCGATCCAAGCAAGCCGCGCGGACCTCCGACAGCGCATGCTTATGCTGAAGTCGGGCCTGTCCCTCTACAGGGGGAATATTCAAAAAGAGTCAAACAAATAGTCTAGGGACTATTCTTTGAGCATGTTTGGGCATCTCTTGAGCATGTTTGGAGTATGTTTCGTTTTTCGTCCAGGATCGGCCTGTAGGGTGACAGGCCCGACCTAATACCTAATGCTTATGCAGCTTTGTCTTCTTCGAGCATCGCTTCCTCGGCGGCGACGGGGCCGCGCTGGCGGAGGCCGAGCGACAGGCGAGGGCGCAGGTGCCGGGCTGGCTGGCATGGCTCTCGGCGCAGACGTGCGAGGCGATCGTGAAGCCGGGCCTGCCCCTCTACAGGGGGGAATACTCAAAAATCGTTTAAAAAAAAAAAAAAATAGTATGGGGACTATTTTTTGAGTAGTTTGGGGCATCTTTTGACAATTTTCCGAGGCTTTTTATTCTTCGTCCAAAATCTCCCTGTAGGGGGACAGGCCCCACCTGAGGTCGGCGTCCCCCCAACATACTTCTACTATGTGTTCGTCGCCCCCCCAGGGGCGACGCGCGAACCGAGAAATCTTATAGTATATGCGTCGTGGCGGGCGCTTTCTGGCCACACCGCTCGAGAAACGATATACTACAAGATGGGTATACTATATGTTCGGGTCGGACGCGCGCCTCCAAGGCGGACACATAGTATTAGTATGTCTCTGTGCGTCCCAACCTGAGGCGATCGCCGCGGTGCGGCTCGACTTCTTCGTGCAGGCCGCGCCCCCGGGCTCGGTGCGCGTGCTGCTCTCGGAGGTATGCCCGGCGGCGAGCGACGGGGGGGGGGACTGGAGCAGCGGCGGGCCTTCTCGGGAGGCTCGGATCGGGGGAGCGTAAGACCCGGGTTTGCCAGGACTCGGGTTCGCCATCGTTTTTTTACGACCGCGATTCGGATTTTGACGAGTAGGAGTTTCGTGGGATGTCTGCAGCGGGAGGCCTCGTCAAAATGCAGGCTCGGCCTCGTCATTTTTTTGACGACCTCGTCGGGGATTTCCGAGTCCCCTGTACCCGGTCTTACGCCCCCCTGATCGGAGGTCCCCCAGCCTTCTGAGAAGCGTTCCGAGCCTCTCCCGAGGGCAGACCGCCTCTCGGAGGGCTGGAGTCCTTCTGCTGAGAGAAGCCCCGCCGCCCTCTGAGAGGGCCTCCTCCGTCTCATTACCGCCCCCCTCGCTCGCCGCCGACATGCGAGAACGGGTTCAGCATGCTGGGGAACGGCCGGGAGCTCGCGGACAAGGTGTTTCGTGCCGTGCTGAGCGATTGCTTGGGGGAGCTCGAGTGCACGGGCGAGTCGGATCCGGATGACCCCACCGAGGCTGAAAACAGTTTGCCGCCATGTTGCCCCCACGCATGACAGGGCGCCCTAAGTTTCCACTGTTTTTTAGGGGGGGGGCCGGGAGGGCCACCGGGCCTCGTCATTACACTGGCGGGTTCCGAATCGGGCTGGTTCGTCCGCTTGGTCGCGCACGAAAAACTCAATGTGGCCCCCCCGAGGTGGAGGACCTCTCTCCCCCCCCCTCCCCATCCCATCCCTTCTGCGCCAGAAGTCTCGCATGCAGACTCGGGAGCGGCTTCACAGGTGTGGAACAGCGAGCGCGCTGGTCAGCGTCATGGGAAGATGAGGAGGAGAAGGGGGAGGAGGAGGACGAGTGAGACGGAGGAGGATGAGGATGAGAAGGAGGAGTAGGAAGAGGAGGAGGAGGAGGAGGAAGAAGAGAGGATGAGGAAAAGCCAGGTGCGCTCGCGCCATAGCTGGCATGTTCTCCCTCCCTCACATGCCTTCCCATTGCGCTGATGTTCCCCCTATCCGCGGACGCGTGTCATAGCCGACCTGGAACTCCGAAAAAATCCCGATCGTGTGATGCACAATCAGAAAGAACTGTGGCCTGTGGTATGTGTGGGACCTGCGGTGCAGGTGGGAACTGTGGATCTGTGGAACCTGTGAGACCTACGGGACTTGTGGGACCTGTGCTACCTGGGGGACCTCTGTGGCCTGTGTGGCTTGTGAGACCTGCGACACCTGTGGGACATATGGGACCTGCAGGACATGTGGGACATGTGGGACCTGCGGGAATTGTGAGACCTGTGAGACATGCGAGGCTTGTTGGACCTGTGGCACCTGCGGGACCTGTGGGACCTGGGGGAATTCTGTGGGACCTGTGAGACATGCGACGCGTGTGGGACCCGTGGGACCTGCGGGATCTGTCGGACCTGTGGGGCCCGTGGGACTTGCGAGACGTGCGATACCAGTGGGACCCGTGGAACTTGTAAGAACTGTGGGACCTGTGCGGCGAATTGCGGCACCTGTGGGTCCTGCGGGATTTCTGTGGGACCTGCGAGGCCTGTGGGACTTGCGAGACCTCTAGGATTCAGAAACATGTTCCACGCTGGGGCGGGAGCGCCAGTCTGAACGACTGGAGCACAGCGCCGATCCGGCCCCTGCTGCAGCGAAAGCAACCATGCTCGAAACTTCGAGACTTCTCGGAGCGTAAGAACATGGGGAAGCCAGTTCGGCCCAATCCGATGTGGGAAAATACGGGACGCGGAGGGGGCGGGACATCTTCTGCGCAATTTCAGTGGATAGAGGAGACTAGTATTCATTCTGTGTATCTTAGATGGGCAGGGGGAGGAGGAGAGGAGGAGGAGGAGGAGGAGGAGGAGGAGGAGGAGGAGGAGGAGAGGGAAGGGGGGGAGGAGGATGAGGAGGAGGAGGAAGATCGAGCATCGAGCTATCCGACAAAGTCGTTGGAGAGATTAAAGGCCACGCCTTCGCTGCTCAGCCATACTAAGCTGCTTCAGCCACAGGCCCGCCGTAAGACGGTCAAGGTACACACGACGGTGGGGCTTCACGCCCTGCTCGCACGGATCTCCGAGACCGCGCAATTGCCGACCTCCGAAGCACCCACACGACACACACAACCGTACATGAAGGGACCGCTCACGCCTCATATTGTGTGCACTGGGCACCCATCCCCCAGCGATGTGGAGCCGCCCCCCCTGTGGGGGCACGGGCAAGCCTACTGTCGACGGTGTGGGGAACAAGGCACGGAGACTGCCAGAAAGCCTTGGACTCTTTCCGATTCGAGGTCCCGAAACAAACGAGACTCTGCCTTCGATCATCGCTCAACCGATGGGTCGAGAGGAACGAGGCAACAGCAGCAGGCGCAGGGAGAGGATGGGGGAGGAGGAGGAGGAGGAGGAGGAGGAGGAGGAGGAGGAGGAGGAGGAGGAGGAGGAGGAGGAGGAGGAGGAGGAGGAGGGGGCCCTACCCTTCTCACGGAGCCGCTCCCACCCTGATCCTCGGCGACCACCGTGTCGCAGGTGGCCCTGAGGATCCTCATCCTCACCAGGTAGGCGGTGCGCTCGACCTGGATCGCCTGACACAGGGCCGGGTCGGGCACTCTGGCAATCTTCGCCGCCTGCGCGGCGAGGTGATCGACTATAGTGCTCCCAGCTGCCAGCCCAGATGGTACATTCTGACCGACAGTCTGCTCGGGAGACACGTGAGAGTTGACAAACGAAAAACTGATACGAGGCCCATGCGCCGAGACATGATTTTACCGACGCCGAGCCACAAGTCAGCATTTGGCCCCGACGGCTTGTCAACCGTCCGATCGTAGAATCCAGCTGCAACCGATCGCAATCAGTGGCATAACAACGGGCACCCGCCGAAGCCTCGAGTGCCAGCACACGGCAGGGCTCAAAAGATTGCAGCACCGGTATCGCAACTCCAACTCTGGTAAAGCGGGGGTCACCTGTCTGTTTTCCCCCCGCTCGCGTCTCCAAATACCAACATTGGGTCCTCAGAAGTCCCAGCTCCCAAGCGGCATTCTAGATCCTCCGAACCAGTCCCAACAATGGTCCAAGACTCCTGAGACGGGGGGGGCACGAGTGCAGTCCGCTGGTATGAGACCTCTGAGCCACAGGCACGGTTCAGCTTCTGCTGGGGTGTAGGCAGCACTCGTATTCGCTATCCTTGTATGCCTTGGCGCCTTGATTCGCTTTTCACTCCCATGCTCGGTGAAACATGGTTTCGGGACATTTCCCGCACCTTGGACACATAACCTCCTGCTCTCCTTTGATCTCCTCCTGCCTCCTGACTCGCGTCCACGAGCCTCCGCAAGCGATGGATACAAGAAGCTCCGAAAGTCTGTGCCCAGTGGATACCTGCTGGATTCTGCACAATAGCCGACGAGGAGAAACATTGCCCACTCCTCTCTCCATCCCTCATCCACAGAAGTGGGCCGACGCTCGGCCCCACTGCAGAGCACGCACAGTCGCTTCAAAATCGTCAAGCAGAGGAGTGGGATCGTCCTCGACCAAGTTCCCCTTCACATCGGATGACGGAAGCTTTCATTCAGCTAAATCGCCGCACACGTCGTTGTCGGGTGCGATCCATCGATTTGGCTCCACGGGGTCCCATCCAGATTCCAGGAGATACTGCAGGAGGAGGGGGAGGAGGAGGAGGAAGAGGAGGAGGATGAGGGGGGGCGATGTAGAAGGAGATGGAGGAGGAGGAGGAGGAGGAGGAGCTGGGGGATGAGCAGGAGGAGGAGAAGGAGGAGAAGGAGGAGGAGGAGGAGGACGAGGAGGACGAGGAGGAAATGGAGGAGAAGGAGGAGGAGGAGGAAGAGGAGGAGGAGGAGGAGGAGGGAGGAAGAGGACCCCCCCTCTCATCTTCCTGCGCGAGCTCTCCGTTCTCCCCTTGCCCCCCCCTTTTCCCGTGCTCGCGGGAACGCGCCCCGAGTGATGCGGAGCAGGAGGGATAGGAGGAGAGGGGAAGAAGATGAAGACGAAAACGAAGGATAGAGGATCAGGATGAGGATACAGGGACAGCAAGAGGAGGAGGGGGGAGGAGGAAGAAAACCCCCTTTCCATCCCTCGTCATACGCCTCCTTCTCCTCCTTCTCTCCCTCATCCTCGCCCTTATCTGGATTAGCATGTGTCTACGGTTTCCGGAGGTCCCTTCAGGCTTCTGCAGCCTCCCGAGGGCAAGGGAGGCCCAATCATGAAGCCAGAGACTGTCAAAAGCTTAGATATTCGATTCTCGAACACCCGCTGTTCGTTGCTGAACCCCTTCTTCCCATCTCGCGCGCTTCAGGGCGGCCGAGCTCCTCTGCGGCCCCGTGCTCAACTTCACGAAGCCCGGACTGGTCCCGCTGTGGGACGCACTCGGCAATAGCACGATCACGGAGGCAATTTTGAGGTGCAGGCGTTCGCGAAGTGACTCGGCACGATGGTCGGGCCTGGCGCACACATGGGCTCGTGGACACTACCGCTCGCAGAATACAAACGGAGGACGGCGGAGCTGGCAGCAGTGGGCGCACCTATGTCGGCTACCGTGGCACTGTGCCGCACCTTTGCGTTGCCAGTGATGGGCTACATCGCGCAATTCATGCAGCCTGAGTCCAACATTGTCCGCGATATCGAGCATTTGGCAATCCAGAATCATACACCAGCCAGCGAATTGCGGAACCAGGGCAACGTACATCGGCTTCGCGAGGTGGTCCCAAATCCAGACTCCGTCCCTCGAGCTGCTCGGACGGGCCGCGGCGATAAGGATGGCCTCCGGCGCGATCAATGAGTGGAGCCGCTGGCTGGAGCACTTGGTGGTCCCCAAACGTGGTGGTGAGAACACCCGGTGGTGAGTTTTGGGCGATTTGGGGAATGGTTTTCGAGCGCTGGCTGGCCCAGGAAACGCAAAACCTCGTGGCGACCGCGTGTCCCCAAACCCGGTGGTGACCCAGAATTATTTCTTTGGGGAAACGGGGTCACCACCGGGTGTCTCACCACCTGGTTTGGAGACCACCAAAGCGCGTGAGTTCGAAGGCGGTGGAGCACGGCGGACTCGCGACTCTCCCGGCCAGCTTGGGAGGCGGCTCGCCCAAGTCTTGGAAAACAGGCTCCGCAGTTTTCAACCCGGGGAGGCAGCGGCGGGCTTCCCTGGGCTTTAAGTCGGGCGCGTCCCTTTACAGAAGGAAGTTCAAAAATAGTAGAACAAAAATGCTACGGGCACGATGTTTTGATTATTTTTGCCCATTTGGAGGGTATGTTTTGGAGTGTTTTTTATTTTTCGCCCAAAATCCCAATGTAGGAGGACGCGCCCGACTTAACCCTGGGCAGAAGCGCATCTTCGGCAAGGTGTCGCAAGCGCTGCCGGACCTGGTGAGGGCCTAACGCAGAGCCTCTGTTGCGGCTGCGGAGGGGCGACGCCTCCCGCCTGTCCTTACACAGCGCCTTTCGTCTCGACGCATCCGCGCTGGCTTTTTCCCGCCCCATGGGTGCTCGCATGGCCAAGGTGACTCCGAAAACTGGGCTCGATCTGATCGAGTTTGATCGCGCTGAGGGCTGCCCGGAAGACAATGCCAAATGCAGCTGTGCAGTCCAAAGTGCGGTCATCAGAACGTTGATCGGAGGCGAGTCACATCGCGCAGCCTACCGATCGAGACACACCCCCTGTTTTTCGTTCGGGTGCCCGCGCCAGACGGACGACGAGCCCGATTACATGCATGTCGGCCCGTTGTGGGAAAGAGTCTCGCCCATTGACCCTTGCCCGCTGCTCGCTGCAAGCCTCGCAGATTGCTTGGGCACTTTGCCCGGGAAGCTCACGCATGAAACAATGCCTGCCTCGTGCTTGGTCGCCCGCGCGCACAACTGCCGCCGAGATTTGTTCGCCAGCGGGTGGACAGAGTCAAGCGCGCAGACTGGGCCGCTTGGCGCTCCTCTCCGCGAGGCGCCAGCTCTAGGTCTAGAGCGCCCCCCCCCCCCCCCCGCGGGCGGAGGTTGGGCGAGAAATTGCGAGCGGCCATAATATGCGCGCAACAGGTGCCCCGAAAAAATCCAAAAGTTGACCCTATATCATGTGCTTATTATTTTGAACATCCCCCTGTAGAGGTAAACGCCCGACTTAATTAACGCCAGCCAGAGCTCGCGCAACCGAAGGTCAGAACTTTCGGCGCGAGGCGCGCGGCGCGCGCACTTTTTGCATCGGCGGCTAGGCAGAGTGACTGCGCTGGCGGACGGAGCAAATGCAGAGCGCACAAATGCGACTCAAGCCGCATTGCGCGCAAAGAAGAGTGGGAACGCCTGGCGCGGGAGGGAGGAGGGAGACAGAGGCCGGGCCCGCTCAGAGCGGGGCCAGGCGGCCGCGGGCGGGGGCGCTGTTACTGGCAGATGAGGGCTTGCTTCCTTCGTGTGGCAGCTGCCCTGGAAACGGCAATCTGCCCTGGAAGCGGCAATCTGGATGTTCCTCGAACTCAGGTAACCAAGCAGCGCCTCCTGCCTGCAACGCGCGCGGTCACGACCTCTCTTACTGGCCTGGGGGTCGTGCTCCAGATGGCGCGCGCCCCATTCGTCGGGTCCGCTGGGGCCTCGGGAAGAATCGCGGCGCCTTTGGCGGCGCGGGTGACTACCCAGGGGCGCCGGGGAGGCGCGCCCACCGCCCCACCCCGCGCCCCTGGAGAGCCCCGAGGGGGCACAGCGCCGCCCTAGATGGTGGAGTGGAGATGAGCTGCCGGCAGCAGGGCGCAGGCCAGGCCCTGGGGTCGCCGGGCGCCCCAGATCGATTTCTTGATCTGCAGCGGGAGGAAGCCCGGCGCTCGAACGCCCTGTTCGCAGAACCAGCTGAGATGAATGTCGGCTTTGTTAAGGCTTATGAGCTGTATAACGAGTTGCTAAGGTTGTTACAGCGTTCATACAACCCTCTCACAAAGCAGCAACCATGCTGGCTTTAGCTAGCTATGAATTAATAGTTTATGGTTTATGTTGGATAAATATGAAAACTGTGATAACTCATTTATCTCATGTTAACATAACTGCTTATGTTAGTTTAACGTAGTTTTTTGTTTGAAAACCTGAAGTCCAGAAAATATATGTTAAGTTAACATAAGTTTCGAATAGGCTAACATGATGCTCAGAATAGGCTAACATGAAAAACCTGTTCAGAAAAATGTTGACCTCGTTTTTCTCAAAGGCCCAACATGAACAGATCTCCACGTTTCAACATAGCTCCCGTTGCAAACCAAACGTTGAAAATTTTCGAACCAAACATAGCTCCCGTTGCCAACCAAACATAGCTCCCTTTGCAAACCCAGCTCATGTTGGGAATCCAAAGAACATGTCAGGACCCATTTGTCGGTGAACAAGCTCTGAAAAACTTGGTGAGCTTTACCCAGGGATAGTTCGGAGGACTCAACATCAGCATGCAGAGCAGATATTCAACATTGAATTGTGGATAAGAGGTATGAGCATCGGACACGACGATTTCGAGAAATACTTTGTGATTGTGCAGTTGCATTCTACCATCCGTAGTTGCAGAATTGTCGGCATAAGGCATTCGCTATAGCTTCCGGCAGCTTTCTTCAGCTATGTCTCAGCTTACGGAAGCTTTCAAAACTGAGTTCCAGAAGATTTTGAATTTGAAAAAGATGAAGGCGAACGAGCATATGGATATGCTGATGACCTGCCTTCGGGCACACAAGTTGGCGTACGCCGTGAACGGCATCGAGCCGAAATTTGTTCTCGCACGCAGTGCGAACCGCGGAGGGCTTCTTCTGAGCCCGCACAATGTGCATCGCAATGCTGCTCGGATCCATGCAGCTGGTGCCGACATGCGCCAGCTATCAAATGCCGTGTGCATCGAGCTTGGAGTCAATTCGCCCGTCCGTTGGCAGCACGTTGCTAAGAACAAGGTGCTGGTGGACAGAGCCGATGGGCTTCTAGCGCCAGTTAATGGCTCCGAGCGGTACGTTACAGTCGGGTGTGGACACACCACGGCTTTCTGCAAGTTGGCAGGGGTGCAGGGCAGGACGTCGGAGAAGTCATTGCAGATGGCTGATTCAGATACGATTGACGTGCAGAAGTTGTCCCAGAATGCGCAAATCAAAGCCATGATCGAGAAGGGCTGGGCGTGGGAGGTGGTCCCAAGTATCATTGACGAGCTGTTCCCAGGTTTCGCTTCCGTAGCCCAGAAGGCTTTAAACACTCAGAACCACATCGGCACGGAGGTCGGGGAGCTGGAGACCTGCATGACGTTGGCAGCGATTGCTAATGACCCAGGGATGCGCCAGGTTGCGGATTGGAAAGCCATGGCTATCGAGACCGTAGTTTCGCTCAACATACCGAGCGCAAAGTACAGCAAGACATTGCTTGAGTTTGTTGAGAATTTCGGCGGTGGCGATGGCGCTCCTCTCGTGTCGTTCATGGACTCGGTTGCAAAGCAATTTGGTTGCAACGCTACGTTGGGGCAAGCTTTCTGGGAATCGATTACGAACGCAGCTTTCGCATCGAAAACCAACATGTATCCTTTGATTCGGGTGGCACTTGCAATTGCAAACCTCACGGGCGACAAGGTTGAGGACGGCGTGGCGCGCTTGCTTGTGAAGAATGACGTCACGAAGGTTGCTAGCACGCCTAAGATGGCTGAAGCAAATACTGCTGAAAGCATTCTTGGCGAAGCCATGGATATCGCCAGGGGGCTTGATGGCATCGATGCGGCGTTGCAGCCATTAGGGCAGCTATTCGTGAGGATTGCGTTGAAGCTCACAGGTAAGGAGAAGATGGGTCGGGAGGGCAAGGAGCTTAAGTGGGGCGACATATGCGTTTCATTTCTGACCAGCCTCAGCGACCTCAAGGGTCAGACGGTAACTTTCGACGAGTGGTCTAAGCATGCGGTCTCGAGCGGCGCTGCAGCCGCTGCCAGAGCGAAGCCGAGTGCATCCAGCACGGCGACGCTCAGCGACCATAAGGGCCCGACATGGATTGCCAAGAAGGCTGGGTATTCGGTCGGGTGTCTAGTAGTCCAGAAGGACGTTGCAGCCCAGAGGCTTTACACTATCTTCAGCATCGGCCAGACTGTCAAGCTTCGCGAAGCTATTAACCACGACGCGAGCCGAGAGGCACACACGGCTGATATTACATTTGAGGATCTTCTTCAGAAGTGGTCAATCTCTAAGGCTGCACTGTCAAAGCAGATGGATGGTGATCAGCAGCGCCCGCAGCAGCTGTACATCGACAAGCAGAAGGCTGCGTTGTACCGAGCTCTCCTTGAGCTAGATGCCAAGCACGTGGGCAAGCATAAGCTGACGTTCTGGCGGAAGCCAGATGGGGTGTGGACTACTAGCGCGATCAAGCAGGGCCAGCTTACTTTGGTCCCAGTGGCACCACTCATCAACACAAGTGCGAAGAACAATGGGTCTGGCATTTCACTTGGCGAGCATGCGATTGACAAAGACACCAAGGTTCATGTTTTTGTGTTGCCTGTTATCTAAACCGCAAGACAATGACACCAGCATCCAGTTCGATGAAGCCGCATTGGTGGCTGCACACTGGTGGGCCGCGCCAACCTACGACAAGAAGCAAGCCAACATGGCTACGAGCCACGTGTCACACGGTGGCTTAACGTTGCCAGTGCTGACGAACACTACCGACATCGGGCCCAATGTGAAGCTCCAGATGCTCGCCAAGCCCAAGGCTAAGGAGGTGCCAATCCATGAGCAGGCCGTCAAGAAGCAGAAGAGGGCTTGAACAGCATCCATCAGCCACGGGTGCTAGTCTGCAGAGGGGTGTGTTTTGCATCGCACTTTTGCAATCTCTCGAGCTCTAGCCCAGAGCATCCCAGCACTCTGCAGTGCTATAGTCATATGCTGCCGCGCAGTAGCAGGGGAGAGCAAGGAGGAGCGAGGATGAGGGTGGAGGTCGAGCTGTTGCCCCGTCGGCTAGCACGAAGCTTTGATGTCGGGCGCATATATTTTGCGTGCGAACGGGTTTACCAGCCATGCGCTTATCAGGCAGTTGACGCAGTCTTTATGGACAATCGCACTTGCACCGACAGAGAAAAAACATGGCGGGTGTGGGGCGAGATGCGGCGGGAGGTCAGCATTTGCTAATCTGATCCTGACTGGTCGCCCACAGTCCTTTGGCATGCAACCGTCCGCATCATACATTCCCTCGAGCCCGTGCGCTCCCACCGTTGCCCTCATTGGCCATGCCTTCCCTCAGCAACGTCTTTGTGTTCAGGGCGGCGCCGAACCAGGGGGGGGGGGCAGGGGGGGTGATGATGAGGGGGATGTCACAGAGAGTACGGGAGAACGAGAACGAGAGAATACAGGGTGCATGCTCACTTCAGTGAGGCCGTCCGGATATATTGCAAGGGGCATGCGAAGACAGCCAACGGCGAAGCGAATGGCATCGGGTGGCAACTGGCATGCTATGTGATGCCATGCGAGCGGCCCTCTTGGGCTCACCCTGCATATGCTATGGCATGCCATGCTTATCCAGCCCCCGAGCGTTCGAGGACTGCCCAGACCAACGAGTTGATGCGCCATGCCGTGCAGATGAGCCTAAGTGTCAGTCGCATCTGTCGTCGTTCTCCTTACCCCCCTCCCGTCTCCTTACCCTGGCTCCGTGGCCTCTCTCGCTCATCTGACGTCGTCCACGTCGCGTCCCCTTTCTAGGATGCAATCGAGCCTCAGCCGTTAGGCTCAAACGACCAGGGATAAAGCATCACGGCTTGCTGTTAGCATAATGCAGAAAGCAACACTTGCACTTTCTCGCACCGTCAAGCTGGAGGGGATAAAGCCAGTTTGGCGGATTCACAGGCCATATGATATGGCTACTGTCGGCGATGGCACTTCTGTCCGAATCTCACCTGCGCAGTATACACTGAACAGCCTTTTGGCTTATAAGAACGATGACCTCCCACGCGGGCTGGAGCAGCAGGCAGCGGTTCTGAGCAGGGGGCTGAAGTCGTTGATAGCCCAGCGGAATGAGAAGCAGTCGGACGAGCTCAAGCAGGAGCAAACCCAGGCAAAGGCGTCTCTGTTCAAAACGCCACCGAAGCAAATGAAGCTTGTGAGGACCCACGCCGAGAAGGCTGACATGAGGCGTGATCCTGGTGTGGCTCCAGGCGCAAAGGGGGCCTGGTGGTTTTTGTGCGTGTTGTTTTTAATAAGAAAACCTATGCGAGTCTCTCTCTACGACTCCTTCTCTCTCTCTCTCTCTCTCTCTCTCTCTCTCTCTCATTATTTTTTCTCGATGTGTTTCCGTTTCTCTCTCTCTCTCTCTCTCTCTCTCTCTCCCTGTCTCTCTACATGTTTCCATTGTCCTGCGTCAAACCTGCGCCGATCCTTCTCCCACCTAGCCGAGAGCATTTGAAACCTTCACAGCAGGAACCCTTTGGAAAGCACCGCAAAGGGATTCCATGTGAAAGCCTCTCAACAGGAACCCTTTGAAAGGCACCGCAAAGGAGTTCCATTGGAAAGCCTCTCAACAGGTCTTCATTTGGGAAGCGATGCAAAAGGATTCCATTTGAAAGCATCTCAACAGGATTCCTTTGGAAAGCACCACAGAGGGATTCTATTGGAACGCCTCACAATCGGAATCTGTTGGAAAGCGCCACAGAAGGATTCTATTGGAAAGCCTCTCAGCAGGATTCGTTTGGAAAGCCCCACAATGGTACCATTGGAAAGCCTTTCAACAGGATTCCTTTGGCAAGCCCCACAGAGGTACTCTATGGGAAAGCCTCACACTCGGATTACATTGGAAAACTTCACAATATGATTCCTTTGGGAAGCACCCCGAAGGGAGTCTGTTGGAAGGCCTCACAACAGGAACCCTTTGGAAAGCACCCCAAAGGGATTCTAGTGGAAAGCCTGACAGCAAGAACCCTTCGGAAAATGCTACAACGGGTTTCAAGTGGAAAGCGTCACAAAGGAAATCCTTTGGAAAACTACACAAAAGGGATTCCATGGGAAAGCCTCACAATTGGAATCTTTTGAAAAGCGCAACAAAGGGATTCCATTTGAGAGCCTCACATCAGGAACCCTTTGAAAAAGCACCACAAAGGAGTTCCATTGGACAGCCTCTCAACAGGATTCCTTTGGAAAGCACAACAGAGGGATTCTATGGGAAAGCCTCGCATTCGGAATCCTACAGAAATCGCAACACAGCGATTCTACTGGAACGCCTCACAATCGGAATCCTTTGGAAAGCACAACAAAGGAGTTCCATTGGAAAGCCTCCCAACATGGTTTCTTTGGAAAGCGCAACAGAGGGATTCTATTGGAAAGCCGCAATCCAAACTGCTACCGTTGGGAGGATGGCGCTGGAACACAAATCCTCACAACAGGAACCCTTTGGAAACCATCGCAACAGGAACCCTTTGGAAATCCTCACAACAGGAACCCTTTGGAAATCACCACAAAGGGATTCCATTGGAAAGCCTCCCAACAGGATTCCATTGGAAAGCACAACAGAGGGATCCAATTGGAAAGCCTCACAACAGGACTCCTTTGGAAAGCACCCCAAAGGGATTCTCATGGAAGGCCTCTCAACAGGATTCCGTGGGAATGCATCACAGAGGGAGGGTTCAGCGCCGCAGGTACGAACCCCTCCCGCGACCTCCTCCCCGCGACTCCTCTCCATCCTCTTCCTCCCCCCCCCTCCTCCCCCATCCCCCCCTTCTGAAGGAATGCAACAACTTTGGGAAAACCATGGGAAAAAACAAAAAAAACAAAGAAACCTAAGTGCTGGCAACGAAAAACTTTAGGACACCCATTGGAAAAAAAAATCCACAGAGAGTGCGGGGATTCCCTTTGGACGTGTCCCTTCGGACGGGTGTTCCCCGCACTCTCTGTGGAATCTTTGTTTTTTTTGGTTTTTCCAATGGGTTTCCTAAGCTTTCCGTCTCCACCACTTAGGTTTCTTTGTTTTTTTGGTTTTTCCAATGGTTTCCCCAAAGTCCTGGCATTCCTTCAGAAAAGGGGGAGAGGGGGGGGGAGGCGGAGGAGGACGAGGAGGGGGAGGAGGAGGAAGAAGAGGGGGATGATCGGGAACAGGATGAGGAGGAAGACGGAGAAGGATGAGGAGGAAGAGGAATGCGCTACGAACGGAAACACACAGAAGAGAGAGCGAGAGAGAGAGAGAGAGAGAGAGAGAGAGAGAGAGAGAGAGAGAGAGAGAGAGAGAGACGCATGAAACCCTCGGAGGGCCGAAAGCCCGCCGAATAATCCAGTCTGGAGCTGAAAAAGATCACGCTTAAAAACCACCAGGCCCCCTTTGCGCCTGAAGCCCCTGGTGTCATGTGCCTCGAGGTGGTAGTTCACGATAAGGCTGTTTGCATTGATGTTCTGAGGCCAATTCACCCGTGTGATAATCTCTTCGTTGCGTACGAGCCCGAGGCTTTGGCTGCGGCAGTTCGCATTATGAGGACAATGGGGTTCGATGAGCCGCAGAAGCGATATCGATTGCCTGATCTGCCTAAGGGTGTCCACCACAGGAACGGCTATGTACTTGCAAAGTTCCCAAGGAGCATAGATTGCCTGAACGGCTACGGCTACAAGAAATGCAAGACGGTTGAGGATGCGGTACGGTTCCTCACGCAGCCGCAGCCCCCCGATGGTGGGCTCCCCGATGCGGGTGATGAGCCCCCCGATGCGGCTGGTGAGCTTCCCGATTCGGATGCAGAGTTTCCTAATTCGGGTGCTGAGCCTTGCCATGCTGGGCTTCCCGAGCATTCCCATGACTAATGCTGCAAGTGTATATACATGCACTAAGCCTTGAGGCTGACAGCGCCCGTATGATTGGGGTCTGCGGGCTTAGCACTTCGCTCACCGAGTATGAAAAAAAAACAGTCATTGCTCATCAAGCCGATTGGCTGCGTTGATGCGTTTCCGTTTGGGGCTTGGGGTCGGGGACTACCATTGTAGTTCAGCCGTTCTGCTTCAGAGGCTCCTCCCCCCAGCGCTTGCGCGCTTCGTCCGTTTCATCAGCCATCGCGCGATGGCTCCCAAGGGCGCCCACCGGGACAGCAAGGCCGCGCTGAAGCAGCGGCTGAAGGACATGAAAGCCAGCCGCAACGAACGCAAAGAGCGCGCAGATTCGCTTGAGCGATTCGCGAAGGTGATCGCTAACAAGGTGGAGCCAAAAAAGCACGTTCGCGAGATCTTCGATGACGTCAGGAAGTTGTACACCGTGACTGAGGGCACGCCGACGCAGACCAAGCCGACTAGCCTCGGGCGCCTGCAGAGGTTGTCGGCTCTCCCCGAGGTCGCGGAGGCGACGGACACAGCCCCCCCTGGCGGTTGGGGCGCAAGCTCGTCGTCATCGGGCTCGCCGTCGTAAGCTGCATGGTGCAGCTGGTATGCCCGTGGGCAGCAACTCTCTGTGGACTGTGATCGTTGTTGTGTGATGCTGTCGACGTTGTGGGTATCTTCAAGGGCGGCTGTCGCCCATGAAGATGCACGCAACGGCGATAACAGGCCACTGCAGCGATCACAGACCACAGCTCATGAGCCTCAGTGGCTATTTCACGATGTGCCATGCGTTCGCCCGTAGCCACCATGGTGCTATTTGCGCTCGAAGCGAGCACGAGTTCATTGTGCTGATATTGTGGTCTCGCGCTGTGATCTTGATACAGTTGCGAACGAGGAGGAGGAGGGGGATGAGGAAGGTGAGGATTAGTTGCGTGATGCACCCGATGCTGTGCTATGCAGAATGCCATGCAATCGGCCCAAACCTCAGAATGC